AATACATCATTACTTTAATACTTTACTTACATTAAAGTACATGCAGGGGGTCTCAAAACCTGTTTGGGTGTGAATAACTGGCCGTTTAATTTATATACCTAAAAATTTTTTATTATGAATAAAAATATATCTGAGTGTATTGTCATATTTTGATCTAATTTGTTCAGTATTAATGCTATTTTCAGTTGGCATCTGCTCTGGCTGACAGAGGATTCACAAACGTGACACTGAGTTGGTTTCAAACCCCTGAATGGGTGATTCAGAAGGTGAACGCTCCTAAACGTGAGTCTGTTTGCACAACTGCATTTTGCACAGTAATTTATGCCATAATATGAATGAATGTTAATGATTATAAAAACCATGTGATGTAATACACAAAAATGTGTTCATTCACAGGTTGTGTTAAAGTACCGTGATATCCTGGAAAGGTCAAATTGATTCAGATTTTCTTCATAATTACTTATTAACAATGTAAAGCCTCTTCAAGCACGTCTGCTGCCGTGTTCAAGCTTACATAAAACATTAGATAATAAAACAAAGCTAACTGAACAACATACTAAAGTGAATGCTTATTACAATCACAAAAATATTTATTGTGCTGCCTGTTCAAGATATATTATGTTTAAAATGTTTTAAATTGTTTAAATGTGAGAATATCATTAAGGACTTTTATCTAAAATCCTGGCCAGGACGGGTCCGGGAAAAAGGGCACATATGGTCACCCTAATTTTAAATACGATTTAAAGGTAACACTTTTTAACTAGTTGCTTATTATCATGCATATTGCTAGAATATTAGTCAATTATTAGTACTAATTAAGCACATATGAATGCTTTATTCTACATGACTTTATTCGACATCCCTAATCCTACCCAATACCTAAACTTAACAACTACCTTATTAACTATTAATAAGCAGCAAATTAGGAATTTATTGAGGGAAAAGTCATAGTTAATAGTGAATAAGTGTTCCCTATTCTAAAGTGTTACCGATTTAAATTGTTTAAATAAGAGATAGTCATTAAGGACTTTAACCCAAAAGCTTGTCACTGATTCTTGCTGTGATGTAAGTTGTCATTAGTTGGCTGCTAAATAAATCCCGGAAAGTTTAGAAAGCTGCCATTATGGGTGTGTGTGTTTATTAACTTTTTAAATTCTCAAACTTTGATTTATTTAGCAAGCCACTCCCAGATCACTTTGCCTAATTTGAGTAACATTCTAAAGTAACATTCTAACCCACATGCAAAATAACAGTACCAATATAGCAACAATTCTGAAAAACAAGCACAGTTTAACAAGATTTAATTCAAGAACAAACAAGCTGTGAATGCATATAGCCATTATTTACAAACTTTGGCCACCAGGTGGAACAGACACATCATTTTCAGAGGGACCCTCATTTGTCTCAGAGAAACTAGTTATACACAGAAATATAATGTATGTGTAAATACAAGTTTGAGAGATACTGCAAAATAGGCATATCTATCTATCTATCTATCTATCTATCTATCTATCTATCTATCTATCTATCTATCTATCTATCTATCTATCTATGTGACCCTGGAACACAAACCCAGTCTTAAGTTGCTCTGCTATATTTGTATCTATAGCCAAAAATACATTGTATGGGTCAGAATTATCATTTTTTTCTTTTAAGCCAAAAATCATTAGGATATTAAATAAAGATCCTGTTTCATGAACATATTTTGTAAATTTCATTTTTGATTAGTAATATGCATTGCTAAGGACTTCATTTGGCCAACTTTAAAGGCGATTTTCCTTTTTTTTTTTTTTGCACCCTCAGATTCTAGATTTTCAAATTGCTGTATCTCGGCCAAATATTATCCTCTCCTAACAAACCATACATCA